TTATGCAGAGTTTCAATTTATGGTAGAACACATTAGCGTAACATTTGTATCAGCTAAATAAATCAGGGCTCACGCTGGGTGCGATAAGCCATCGGTTGAGTTTATGTTTGTTGATTATGGATTTGTGCATGGCGCGTGAGTCTATGATGACGTCTTATCTCGCATCACATTTACCATGTCACAGGGCGTTGAAAGCAAGTTGAGAAAAGAGGGGTTTTGACGACTGTAATTACAACAACGCGCACCAGGGAGTTTTAAATAGCGTTATCCCTACTGCTTTAAGGTACTGAAGAAGTGCTTGTGTGTGGATGGTTGCAATCTCATGTGTGGCGGGAGATGAGGGTGGGAAAATTAGTGTCAGGAATATAATGGACCATGGATGGGTTCTGGTGTAGCGTGTTCATCGTCACAATACACTAAAGGCGGTGGATTTGCCCAATTCTTCATTGTGCATTTATGAGAGACTTTAGAGACCATCCATCGACTGACTTAGTGTGTAACCATGTGTCTGTAGTCAGTGAGTTGGTGCACCAACATCCAGAGTGTTCACAATGCCATGTCGTAATGGTTACGTGGATCTTGCTTCGAAGACCTATTTCGACACTCCAGTTGGTCTACACCTATTGAAGCACCATCCAGAATATTTCTGCATACACCAACATCATTGGTCAACTCTGTGGCCACTTACCGTAAAGGGTGTTTCCTTTCAAAATTGATCAATGTAATGCACAGGTAAAAAAATACAGTGTGACCATGTGAGTGATTCGTACACTTCTGCCTACCGAAATCACGTGAGAAGCAGAGTGAAAGGGGAGGGAAATGACAAATTAAAGCAGAAAATAAATAAGCTCAAAAATACGTTGATCAAATTGGTAAAAAAATATTAATTCTAGGCTTGCTCGTGAGGTTTTCCGAACACAGCTTTCCCGTGTAAATCAAATGTTAACCCGGTGAAGAATACAGAGCCCGAAAAATTGTCGACCTGTTTTCTAAATATCTGTCTAACAAAGCACAGTTCTCCCTCGGATTTGTCAGTGGTACCTTTGGTCGGCAACCTTTTTCATTTTGTTCCCTAACATAGACTTCACCAAATGTATCAATAATTGGAAATTTTCATTTATTCATTGTTTTGATGGAATACCAGGATCAAACGAATCAGGAGAAGGAATCCCACATTCTTGTCTTTCAGGTAGGTGGCCACAGATTCTATGGTAACGAGCACAAGCATTTCTTCAAAATGACACATTTTACCTATGAGGAAGAAAGCTGAATTCCAGCAGATAATTAATATCAAGGTTCTCTCTATTGCCAGCGCATGTTTTCATCAAGGTTCCTCTATTGCCAGCGCATGTTTTCCTTCTCCTATATTGCAAATGTCTCATCCCGTCTTCCCAATGTACTGTCCTGCTAACTGCCACTCGAGTCTGGACCTTAGTTTGGGCAGTTTGCATTGACACTGCCCCCAGGCGTTTTTCTCAGATTGTCTTGGTTTTCGGCAATATCCCTGGAATGACGGATCTCTGTTAGTGATTTACTGCTTTAATGTCCATTGAAGATAAACTCAACGCACTGAGTAATCAAGCCCAGTTGCTTTGTTATCCAAAATCTGGACCAGGACGGAAGATGTTGGACGAGAGCTTCAGCCTTCCGTCCACTACTTTGTCATCACTCGTCAGATTTCGATTCGCGAATAAGTTTGTGTTCCCTTCGGTATTCATCTTGCACTAGATGTGTGAACTTCGTCTGCAGTAATTACGAAAACAGCTCTAAGAGGAAATCAGTAACTAATCATGCCTCCTTCTCTGTAGGGTCGGACTGTAGTGGAATATTCATAGTAGTAGCATCTATTCGTTCTCAACCCTCAATCAGTAGTGCCAAGTCCACCGAACAAGGTGCCATCTCCCTGCGTAATGCTGTTGTGTACACTTTTACCCAAGCACATTCCCTTCGGACTATATAATCATGTTATCATGTTGTAACAAAAACTTAGGTGCATACTCAGAGGTGTAATTTTGGGGGTGAACATCGAATGTTCCGCATTCATGTGTATGTCTTCCAGGACGATGGCTTGCAAAGTGTCAATGTAACTGTCCTAACTGATTTGGTGAGGGACACACTTTCCATGGCATTAATATAGTGTATACACAGATCTATTTTGACGTGCAGCTTACCGAGGTGAATTAGTGGTGTGGCACCAATTTCAGTTTGATTTCAGACGATAGGGATTCCCGTTCGTGAATAACAGAGTTCCATAGACAGCTAAACTCAGATTTTATGTCTCTGCGTGTTTATCCTCGTTTCTGGAGTGGCTGACACTTCTAAATCCCACATAAATATGTCAAGGGTTGTAGAGTCCGTTTCCTCTTCGATTTGTGACAACTTCGATTCATTTGCGATTGGTGCTCACATGGATACTTTGCGTGCAGTATAGTCTAGGCGGGATCACGATGGTCCTAGATTTCCTTTAACTCACTGATCGGGTATGGGATTATTCCACATGTGCAACTCATACGAATTCGTATAGATTTTCATTGTGCAGAGTAAACAGTGCAAAGTCATGTACAAAGTCATGCATTCCGTAGGAAGGACTCACCATAATCCTCTAGAAAAACCAATGGAAATCTGAAATCTGTCTGATCTGGGCAAAAGACCGACTTCAATGGTTCTGATATAAAGCACATATTTGGTCCGACCTCGATTACTGGGTGAGAAAAACTTTTTGCGCCCAACTGGTTTCATCCGGGAGATTTGAAGACTTCCCAAATTTGTATTTCGTGGAACGATTTTTTTGCAAAGGCTTCCAAACCAAACTTCACTACATGCTTTCAGCGTGAGTGGACTCATTTTTCTCCCACTGACAAAGTGGAGACGCTCAAAAACCTACTGTCTTACACATCCATGAATTTCGAACAGTAAAGACAGTAATGGACCGTGTCATCTGAACTTCATTCAATATATGTAGGCTGAATTAAATGAAAACCTCGAAATAGCATAGCCTAGATTGGACTCGTAAAGACTAATCCAAACGTCAAAATTTTTAAGGAAACTTATTACGTTTCATTCGTTGGCCTCGAAAACCGACAGGCGGAGTTTAGCTGTGAACCGTAACTGCGACGTACCCGTTTACGCCTGGATCATTTTTGAAGGCTGCACAGTTTGCATCAACAGGTTTTCACATATTCATCTATTCAAATGATTAATTTGTGTTTGCCATGTGATGTGGTTAAAACAAAATTTTATTCAAGATTATAGGGTAGTTGAAAATGGCGTTTATAAGGGTACCGCTTTTCTGGGGATTCGGAATTTCAGTGACTCGTACTGTGCTTTTTCCTATGAATGCACATTCTCAGGAGGGGGGTGGGCGCATTCAAATGTCTTTGTTAATGAGAATAGTTCTCTTTGTGTGAGTGTCCAGCCAGCAAATATGCGCACGTTTTTTCCGCTGTAGGCTTTACTACAATTTTTCAATTAGAACAGCCGAAACAGTTGATTTGATCAACTTGTATTGCTAGACGCGGCGTGTTTTTCCATCCAGTTACATCTTTTCAAGTCGTATTCCTACCAACTGTTTCCGGGTAACTATCCCTGTACACCCTCAGAGACTAGTGCGAACGATTGCAGGCGTCACTAAACCAGGAAATATCTTCCGTTGACCCTCAATCAGATTACCTCCAAGGCTATTTGGCTGTAGGTGATATGCGTGTGTTTGTTGTACATTTGGCCGTCGGCTGACATAACTGCAAACACGACTAGAAAACCCGACCTGGGGAAAAGTTGAAAAACGCAAAATTGGAGTTGCAAAATAGTGAAAAACAGTGCACTCATCAGTTATCAAAAGTCAGATTATGATTTAGAAAGCATACAAGCAACCAAGCCTACATTTCTGACGATCGCAAGCTGGTGTAGTTTTGTTCAAGTTTACTTTCTACAGAGCAGCCCGAGAATTCACAAAAATTGCACATAAGCTTTATATATATATATATATATATTATATACACCAAAGATAGCATCCTGTTGACAAGGAGCAAATTGAATGAAGCGTTGTTTCTTCGTTTTTCACTGTGTGGACAGAACATTCTTACTTCGATTATATAAATATATTTCCATCTACATTGCTGCTAAATGCTCGTCCACTCACCCCTTAGTTTCATCAAGAGTGCTGCGGGCGACAAAAATTGAGATTAGGTGGACGGACCATTGGGCCTCGATCTTCGAGAAGCGTCCAAGTGACTAACATTAAATGGAGCTGAATTGTTTTGCCGCCAAACAAACCCACCATGGTTTCAGACAGTTTTGTATGTAACCTGTGACATATTTCTGGGCATAGTTTCGCTTTTGAGTAAGTATGTAAGTAAGTAAGCTGGTTGATTTGGCTTTGAGGCAGTCATGGAACCAATCCGTGAGATGTCTTGTGCCTAGCCGAGTTGATCAGTACTGGGTCAGTCCGTGCTCCTGCTTGCCGATTATTGGGGGCAAATAGCATCTACAGTAGTTTGGTTAGGAGGGAATTGTCCTCCTGTTGAACCCGGATAGCTTTCGGCTTCGATTTTATCTGTCTAGGACTCCCTAATGCAATATTCCTCCTAAAGAAAACTGGTCTGGAGTTGGTGGTGTGGGTGGTTAATTTGGATCTAACTATCCTTGTACTCTGTACTTTTAGACCGTTTTGCTGATAGCCGCACACCACCTCTTGGCACCTCGGTTGATCTAAAACCGCTCTCCACACGGTTGCCATTTCTACTACCTCTATTCTATTCAGGCTGCGGTCCTTGGCAATTCCCGCCGTCTGGGACATTGGTATCTGTGATGTAAACATTGACAGAGCTAAGAGCCTTGAACACATTAAACCATAATGAGGGTATAGTAATTACGAAGGCCGACGGAAGTAAGCCCACGGTTGTCATGAGTTTAGATTTGTTTAAATCATGCATCTAGTTGTACACCTTTCTCAAATCTATCGGTGTGGTGTTCTTTTCTGAAGCCAAAATAATCATGAATATATTACATATTTTATAACCGTCGATCTAATCAAGCGTTTATAAAGTGAAAACCCTCTTCCCGGGATTATTTGGCTTTTGCCCTTACGATATTCATCACTTCTGTCTGTGTTACCCAACCTCACAGTTCACTTTACTGCAACGACGTTATGGAAAGTGATTTTTTGGCCAACTTCGGTCCGACAGATCGCAACGGGTGCAGTCAAGTAAGAGAAATCCATTTCCTTTGTCACTTTGTTGACGTTTCCCTTGTAAATCAGCTCACGTGCAACGTGGCACAGGGCTTTTGCCTCATAGTGCTGAAAAGTGTTCGACAGCCCATGACCGTTTTTCCATTCTTGAGGCTCATCAAGAAGACGCAGTCCCCAAGTAACCATGAACATTATTTTCTACTTGCCTGCGCTGATTCCATGAGACCTAAGTTGGGTGAAACCGCGTTTTCCAGAAAATGTGTTGTTTGAGAGTTTTTATGAACTGCAAGCAGTGCAGATTTAGATCAACTCTACCACGCATAAAATCAATAAACTACCCCTCACTTTGTCGGAGTATTGGGGTTAATCAACACTCGAAAACTCGCAATATTTTGAAGACAGAAGTCTTCATAATTTATAATGACGATTACCACGTCGAATTTCAGGCAGGCATTACTCACTCCCTTTAGGCGTTAAAACTGTAAATAAAAGTCACTATATGTTATTCCAAGGGCAACACACTAAAAATATTTCGTTAACAACACAGTTATGAGTTTTCAGGTGGGGCATCTCCTTCACGTTTTGATGCGTGCAAAATCGCTGCTGGATAAAGGCCTGTGGCGTCTACATCATATAAAACGGCAACATTGATACGTTCTATCTGATGGAATTTTCCAGCGGAGTAAGCAACCACGCCTATACCGCTAACGCTAGCCAGGGAGGAACGAACCCAGATAACTTCGATGCGGTATTCTCAGTATAACATGGAACATCCATTCGAAGCGTATCACCGCATAGTGATGGTTGGGACTACGGTCAGTATTCCAAGGAAGACACTGAAATTCGCTTTGAAGGTTCTACCAGAGGTAGAGGTCGTCTAAACGACAATTCCCAAGGAAATTAAAACAGTCAAAACACTACAATCAAGCATCTCACTGACAGTGGTCCATGGTCCAGACTATAATGTCACCAATTTTACAGCGACGCTCTCAACCTTAGAT